TATAATTATATTCTATTCATTCTAAATAAAGCTGGTGATGTCTGTGTAAGGTACTGTGAAAACAAAGTAAGAAGCAGCTTCAGGCAGACTGTGTGGCACATGGTATGAAATGGACCATTGACAAATTTCATTATTGGGAATTTTCTTTCACATACCATTTTTGTCCTTAATTCATGCTTTACATTTTTGTAGAGCAAGGATTTTTTGTTGTATCTAATTAGTTATAATAAATGAGTGAACTGATTCAACATGACACAGTGCTGAAGTATTGGTGAATGTTGTCAGTACAATTATTTGATACAGTTCTGTACTTTCTTTGCAAGATTATCATGTGTGATGTTGGTATGATACTGTATCACTAACTGTATACATACCATGGTTATACTGTACATGTATAAAACATGTATGCATTTTGAGCTTTTTCCCACTTAATATATACTGTACAATGAAACTGGAAATGAGCAAATACTGTACACACTCACATATTCCTCTTCCTTTGTCATCATTCATTCTTACTACAGTACGTACTGTAAAAGATATGTTCCGTTGTGGTACACCTGTATTATCTTCCCACAACAAAGATTCAAATCTCACTTATCTCTCTCATTTCATACAAGACAACATCACTTATCAGTATCATATCTTTTCCCAAATTTTACTCAGTGACATACTCCCTACTCATTCTTGCTAACTGCTGTTTTCTGGATATTCATCTTCCTCACTTGCAAAGCATCCTTGTCCTACCCTTTCATTCCCATCTTGGTGTTTCTCCTTCTCTTATACTATCCACCATGGACTTTACATGCTTTAACAATATTTCACTTTCCATTCTCTCTCTGTGTCTCAGCAGACCCTGATCTGCACTATGCCCAACACTTCTTCCACTTACACATCTCCTTATTTTTTTGTTTCTTATTGTTTGTATTCTATTCATCCCATACAGTGCCCTCATGTGTGTAATTTATGTTGTTTCTTTCTTTCTTCTTCCTTTTGCCTCCCTTCCATGCTTCATACCCATATACAGTAGTCATTTCACCTTAACAATATTCCCATTATTTCTGTGTGTCTCCATCTTTATATTCTGTGGCATGGTTCCTTTTCATTCAGTTTACCTACTGCTTTCTTTCATATTTTTATGGTTCAATTTATTACACATTGTTTCATAAGCTCATCCATCCACTGTCTAGATAACTGAAATACTCCAGTTTATTTCTATTTAGTCTTATATTTATTTCTTCTATTCTTATCTCTACTTATTTTTAGTATATTTTTGTCTACATTCTTTATCATGAACTTCTAGTACACATTCTCCAAAACTATCTAACTAACATTTGTAGATTTTCTTCAGATTTGCTCACAAGAACAATTTAATTTTCAAACAGTAACTGATTTACTGCCCATTAACATCCCAGATCATTTCAATATTTACCAATCTTGTACTTATCCCCATCATGCTTGCTTTCACCTTTTTCTATTACCTCATCTATGACAATTATAAATTACCATAGGGTTATGTACAGTCCCAGATAAAAGTCCTGTGTCAGGTAGTTTTGGCTAACCTGGTTATGTGGCAATGTCGGAGACACAAATGCACCAACACACATGCTGGAACTACCGGGCCCATAGTTTAAGCGTCGCTCTGTAGTTTAAGGGGCATGTTTCATGCCAAGAGTGCCATGTTGCCAGTAATGTCAGGAACAAGCCAATGAATACCATTTATAATTATTCAGCTTAAATTGAATGACGAGAACTAATGTATATGTGAGCACAGACAAAATGCCTCCCCGCACACACATGCCGTGCTACACCATCTGCTAGACACTTCAATCATGTGACCAATCCATTCTTTGTTGTGTCTATGTGCACATCCTCTTTGAACTGCAGTATACCATGTATCGATGACATGAGTTGTCTTATGTGAGTATCAGGAGGACAGGTATAAACAATCCTGCATAAGAGATACTTTATTTCAAGTCATAGCAGAGAGGGTTCCAGATAGGAAAGAGGGTTGGTTCCAGACAGCAGGGCGGCAGGAGTGAGGTGCTCAGTAAATTTTTCCTCACATTCCTACTTATCATCAGTGTCACATTTCATTGGCAATCTTGCTACCATTTTTAGTATTATTAAGTGCCACATTTGAGATATTAACTTTACATATTACAGGGTTCTTTGGTAATTTAAAAAAGAACAGAAAACATGATGTACACTCCCCCCCCCCTTGACTGATACACAAACACGCACACACAAACACACATACATATACTAGTTTAAGCGTTATTTTGTTTCGGAGTGTGCTCTATGTTCCAATTGGTAAAATTGGGCGCTATATCATGTTTATATTCAAATTAATCATTATCTTATAATAATTCCAGCAATGTAAATTATATTCTCCCCGGTCACTTCTGTGACATTTTATAAGCAATAAGCATGAACTCAATCTAAAGGACATAAATAAACAAAAAATACGCACTTCACTAGACCTTCGGTGCCAACTGTCAAACATGTCACTGTCACTCCCCCCATCTTCCCAGCCAGGGTTTGGTGTTATAGGGTTTAAGTTTTTATCTTATATAATATCACAGACTAAAGTTAGGAGAATATAATTTGTATTGCTGGAATCCTTGCAAGACAGCAAATAATTCGAATATAAACGTCATATATTTTGCACAAGAGATAAAACATTTTGCTCTTTATATGTCTAATGCGAGCTATAGCACGTTTATATTCAAATTAATCACTATCTTATAAGCATTCCAGCAATGTTAATTTTATTCTCCCATGTCAGCTTAGCAACATTTTATAAGAGAAAAACTTATAGTTACTCTTAAGGACAGATAAATAAATAAGCGCTAGACCTTGGCATCAATTGTCAAGCGGCCATCCGGCAAACTAAAATTTTGCCAGACGACGGGAGGTGCCGGACAACAGAGTACTGGATTAAGGAGGTTTAACCTGTATTATACCTAAAAAAAATTAAGTCATTTTGAAAACAACAAAAAAACCTACTGTGTATGTACCAGTACCTAACTACTTTCAAAATAGTACCTACCAGCAACTACTGTATTGTAACTGCAAAACTAAATAAAATATACTATACGGTACTGTACTGTACAGTTGGTACATTATCTTTTTGGAGGGCGATCAGGGTTCACCACGGGGTGAGGAGGGTTGGGTAATGTGAATTTGAACATTTGGATGGAACATTTTTTGGATAAGTGAGAATTGCTTTTGGACAATGAAAAAGAGGTGTATTGTATGTATCAAATTTTTGGATAAGTAAATTTTTGGATAGCAAACATTTGGATAATGAGGGATACCTGTACTGTATTTTGTACTGTACAATGCAGATGACTAGACTGTTCTGGTCGATGTTACCCACATAAAATCAGGCCTATAATGACAAAAGTGACCCAATTGCCAAGCATAACCAAGGCAAAGAAATGACGACTGGTTTTTGGTTAGGGGGTATGTTTTATTATCTGAGCTTTTTTACTTTCCCAACTATCTAGGGTTCCATTGAGATTGGAAAATAGGTGTATGACTGTAGTCCATGATGACACTCTTTACTCCTAACCAATAACTCCTTCGACAGAGAATTGTCAATAGTTGAGTGTCTCCTTTCCTCCCTGTCATAGAGAAATAAGCCAATCATTGAAAAACAAAACTGTTCCTACAAAAATGTGCTTTAATACAAATATTTGTCAGGCTATGTTATCACAGTATCAGTTTTATGGTAATTTTCTCTCTATTCTTTCACATCAGGAGTGTTTGCTTATTTTTTTTACTCAATGGAGGTTTATTTTTAGCATCTTTAAGGTTACATTCAAAATAACAAATAAGTTTTGGTATTTGAGAAAAATTAATTATGTTAACTTAAAGTGCTATTTTTCTGTTCCACATTGGATCCAATTTACTAAACAAATAAGGGAAATGTTTTTACATAAATTACTGTATACTGTACTACACAGTAGTATGAAATTTGTTTTTAATATTTTATTTAAAAAGCAATGTTATTTATAACAAATACCAAAGTTTTTATCTGATCCCATGTGTTGTACATATTGTTACTGTACAGTACATAAATTTTTCTTTTGTAATTTGATTCTGATAATATTCAGCTTATTAATGAATGAAAATCATTTGTATGTTTTATTTAAGTACAGGTACTGCTTAGTACTGCAGTAATAATTGTGGTTTATAGGGATCTAAAGTAGTAAGAGTGAATGAAGAGAGAATCTGTATTAGCTCTTGGATCCAGCCACCTTGCAGTCTGTATGGCATGAAAGAACTTGTAAAAGTGGGGAAATGAAATAAAATTATGTCCTGCTGAATGAAATTATGGAGAAGAAAATGAGGTTTCTCATTCTACCAGTTCGTTTGTGTGGGTTGCGACTTAAAAGCCACCTTGCAAATACTGTACAGCACTGGTATTTTAACAATATTTGTACATTACTGTATATAAATCAAGGATTGTTGGAGAGTGATGACCAAGGATTTGCTTAGATGGTATGGCCATATCAAAAGGATGGGAAGTGAAAGATTGGTAACAAGAATTTATAAATCCGAGGAAGGAGGAAGAGGAAGAGACCAAGAAAGATATGGATGTATTAGGAAGAATAAATACTAGAAATGAAAAGGATACACATCTAGGAGGCAATCAAGTACTTGTACTTGAATGATAGTAGAACATGGCATTAAGTGGTTTGTGTGGATATTGCAGTAGTCAGAAAGAGTGGATGACAGCAGTGAGAGGAGAGTCTGTACAGGTATTTGTTTTTGATTCTTGGCATAATGCAGCTTGAAGGGTAAAGGCTTGCATTAATAAAATAATATATTTTAAGCTTTTTGGTGAAATGGGTGCAGTACAGTACTTTAATTGCTGTACTATTTCTATTGTTGAGTATATGAATGGGTATTCATTCATTTAAAGATTACTGTATTCCCTTAGTGAGGGATATCAATGAATATGACCTCTTATTTATTTTTCTTTGGTACAACAGCCAAACATAGATGATGAGCAGCTGGAATTACCAATGGAAGATGAAACTGAGATAGACGAGAGTGTGAATGACACAGCTGATGTGTTGGCAGCGTACCTGGCAGATGGTCATCACCACGACCGGGAACCTGTCTTTTCCCCTGAACTAGGATTGGCAATTGAGAAACTGAAGGAAGGCTACACCTTACAAACTTTGTGGGAAGTTCTACCAAGCTGAACGCTCTTGTACCTTTGTTTTGTGAACCTCAGTTTTGTAGTGTGCATAATGTAATGTACATGTATTTTTATGAGGAATTGTTGTTAGAAATTTGAGAAGTATATATGCACTAAACAGTACTTAATACTACAACTTGCTTAGTTAGATAAAAAAAATGTACCCCAGTAGCAAATTTTAGCTTGAAATTTTTGTATGTTTACACTCAATGACCAACTTACATAGTTAAAGCAGATGGTACATGAACCAAGACACTAAGAATTTAAGATTTCGTAATACCTGTACTGTATTCATTTGTGCTTGTATCCCTGTACAGTACAGTACTTGTCCCATAATGCTGTTTCACTTTCTGCTTCTTACTATACTGTGCTGTACTTATTTACTCTTTAATTCTTGCTTAATATTTATTTATTCCTACCTCTTATTTACTACCAATGTACAGGCACTTCATACTACTATTGGTTCAGTTACTCATAGTAATCTCTCTGTTAGCCAGAATTTTTGATCCCAGAACTCTTCAGTAGCCTTTTTTTTTCTTTTTACTTTTTTTTTTTTTGAGCAATCTGAGAAATTTTGGGAAAAATCTCACCATTTCAGGCATTGGAATGGATTTCCAAGAGATTGCATCATCTGTCTGATGCAGGTATGCATGCCGGGCACGTGGGGGGATAAGCTCAGAGTAATCATGTGCTATGATTGGCTACTACTGTCATGTAACTGCATGTGATGACTTTGGTTGGTTGATGTATCTTGCGGCCTATCTCCTCAAACTCTTGCACCGTGACATTCTTAGTTCACTGTTTGCTGCCATTGTACAGTACGTACAAGCTTATTCGCTCGCTCACTGTTGTTTTCACATATGATCTGTGTTGTGCTGTACTGTACATTACTGTACAGGTACCAGCATATAATCAGCCAAGAATACCATGAAAGCAGTGTTAGAACATAAAAAGGGTTTAATGTTACATATATTGTACAGGTATCCCTTATTTAGCGTTAATTTACTTAACTTTCATTCTGTTTATCGATAAAAAATTCTGGCACCTTTTCTCACTTTACGTTAGGTCAAAATTCGGTTTAGTGATTGCTTGACTCACTGGTAAGGGGAAAAACTTGGGATGAGGTGGCTTGTTGCCATTGTTGCATGTAATGAAACTATAAAAGTTGTGGAAAAATCATTACAGTACTCTAATGCGGCTTAGAAATAAAGAAATTAAAAGCATGGGTGTGTATGTGTGTGAAGTGATTGTTGTGCGGAGGCAGTGGGCTGTAATTGTTGCTGACTCGCCAACCACCTGTGCTTCCTCCCCCCGCGATGTGATGTCACGGCATGCACACAAACACATACACACGTCTCAAGAGTCAACTGGGTGACTGTCCGGCTGAACTGTGTTGCGTCGCCCAAAGGATGGTTTGAGTGTGGAAGGAATTGTCTAACTTAGAATCATATCATTTATAAGTTTGGTGTAAGTAAGTCAATCATTTAACTTTTAACTGTTTATAACAACATCCTTTATAATTATTATTATTATTATTATTATTATTATTATTATTATTATTAGGGAGTGCAGTACAGTACCCAGTGTTTACCATCCTGCCGTTTGAACCTGATATTTGCCCTCCGTGCTTTGCTATTATCCTCGTTTAGTGATAATTTTGCTTAATGTTAGGTTTTCAGGAACGCAACCTCATTGTTAAACGAGGGATGCCTGTATTGTACAGTATACAGTATTCAGTAAGTGTGAAATGTACAGTACTGTACATAGCAGAATGTACCGTGTATGCTAGTGTGTAGAGGGTGTATGTACAGTATACAGGTACTCCCCGACTTACGACGGGGTTAGGGACCGACATCCAGGTCGTAAGTCGGAAATGCTTAAATAACACATAGAAAATCGAAAATTTGGGTCTCTTTTTCTTCTCAGCACCACAAAACACTCACTTTTAAGCTTGCCAGCCATTTTAAAGTGAATTACAGATGAAAATTTTGTCTGTGTACTGACTTTGGGACTCAAAAATACATAATTTGACCACATTTTGGTACGACTGAAGCAGTCGTAAGTGCGGGTGGACTTAAGTCGAGTCGGTCGTAAGTCGGGGAGTACCTGTACAGTGCATGTACAATCCCTCCTTCATGGAGCAACATCTGCTACAGGAGATGGTACAGGACAAAGGCAGGCCATCCTGTATCATTTAGCCTGCCTACTGCATCACAAGCTCAATTGACAGCATCTAGTGCTGTTGCTTACAAGGGGGTCCCCGAGTCAATACGAACGAGGTCCCATAAGGTCAATTATTTTAAGAATCTGACATAGGTACAACTGGTTCCTAGTATTAATGTACGAGAACTAGTTTGCGTGGCGTAGCAGAGCAGTGGGTCTGCAGTAATGCGTCACCCAGCCATGCACCTTGAGGGAGTGTCATTATGCCTTAATCTCACCTCAGTAACATTTGTGATCAGGTGTAAACCGTTGTTTTTTGCTAATTAACAATATTTTTCATTAACTCTATTTTTATGTCATCATCATGGCTCCCAAGTGCAAACCTGATGCAAATGATAGTAGTGCATTCAAGAAAAGGAAAACAATTTCAATGGAAATAAAAGTTGATGAAATTAAACATTCTGAAAAACACCCTCAGTCATTGGTAAAGCTTTGGGCTTCAATCGGGCAACAATCGGAACAGTTTTGGAAAACAAACACAAAATTCTTGACCACGTAATAGGATCTACATCAATGCACTCAACTGTGACAATAAAACAAAGAAGTGGATTGTTAATTGAAATGGAAATATTGTTAGTGATATGTGTGGAAGATCAGCCAGCCCCAGGTTTCAATGTAAGTGTTAAACTTTAATTTTTTCTTTCCTGTACTGTATTTTGCCATTCAATTTCTTCTTTTCTCTTAAATTGAATGATTACAGATATATAAAAGGATTTAGGCTATGATATAGTGCACATAGGGTATGTGTTCCGACATATGTACATTTCCGACTTAAGAATGTCCTTAGGAATGGAACTCGTTTGTAACTCAGGACCCCCTGTATAATTAATATATACTGGCACTGTATAATCAACCAGTAGCGTGGGGATGCTACTGGCTGTCCCTACGCTTCCTGTGGACTGTAATGGACCTGACTGCTGGGCCACACAAAACATTTTATACCTGACCACATTCAACTGAATTATTCCGTGTTAGCCCGGCTCAACCCACGTTCAAGCGAATCTTAGCCCCATGTTAAGTTATACCAGGTATAACAAAAGAAATGTGTTCGAGTGAATCCTCGTTGAACAAACCCATGTTAAGTGAGGAGGAGTGTATATACTGTATACAGACATGGGTAACCCCTGGCCCGGACCATGTGTTTGTGCGGCCTGTGGAGTGATTGAGAAGTTCTATTTAATGTGGCCCGCAGTTCAGGTAGGTGCAGCCAGTTTATGGTGAGTAAAGCAATAATTATTTAAATAATAGTCATCTTTTACTTTTACTTTTATCCTCTTCACCACTAATCGGCTTGTTAGCCGCTTGGGCGATCGGTCACTTCTCTGTTACGCACTGTTGGCAAGTACTGGGCATGTACCGGCTCCTGAATGTACCTGAACCTGCTCCAGTGTTGGTTAAGCCTGGTCTTGAAAGAGCTCACACTCGGTGCCGTCACAACACTTTCTGGCTGATTGTTCCAAGAGTTCACAACTCTCACTCCGAAAAAGTTTGCCCTCACAGTTTTCTGGACCTGCGGCTTCTTCAATCTTGAGCTGTGACCCCTTGTGGGGCGAGCGTACGCCAGCTCCAAGGACACTCGACTGAGTAGTGCCCCTTGAGATGCTTATACACCTCAATTAGGTCACCCCTTGCCCGTCTGTAGTATAAGCTAGGCAAGTTCAGGCGCTTTAAACTCTCAGGGTAGTTGAGGTGCCGAAGTGCAGGCACCAGTCTGGTGGCCCTCCTTTGAACATTTTCAACCAACTGACAGTCCCTAGCATATCTCGGGGACCAGATGGGGAAGCACTTCACTCTTGAAGATTGTTACGAGGGACTGGCCGTCCAGATATTTTAATGACCTTCTTATAAGACCTAATAATTTATTTGCCTAATTTACCTTCTTCTCGCAATGGCCTGAAAACTTCAGCTCATTGTCAACATACACACCTAGGTCGTTCTCACATTGTCTCAAATAGTGCAGTTTCTTCATCCTGTTGGGACATATGATATGCCTCCTTACCTTTGGTATGCCCCAGGTGCATCCTCTTACACCTCGTGACATTGAATCTCAGCGGCCATTTCTTCAACCATTCTTGGAGCTCACAGAGAGCCTTCTGCAGCTCTTCACAGTCTGCTTGGTTCTTGCTTTCCCGAAATAACTTGGCATCATCAGCAAAGATTTGTATGGAGGAGTGTACAACATTAGGCATGTCATTTATGAAACAAACAAACAAACAACAGCGGGCCCAATACACAGCCCTGTGGTACCTCATTTGTGACAGGCACAGATGATGATTTTGTGCCATTAATCACCACGCATTCCTTGCGGTCATGTAGAAAGTCTTCTATCCACGCTAGAATATTTCCCAGAATTCCGTACCCTTCCAGTTTGATTTTCAGCCTTTCGTGGGGTACACTGTCGAAAGCCTTGGCAAAATCTAGGTGTATATTGTCGAAATTACCCTCCCTGTTCCAGAATATGGGTCCAAATATTCAATACCTTGAGCAATTGTGTTAAGCTGAAGCGCCCCGGCAATCCTTTACAAGGTTGTTTCATAGTAGATGTTCCATCGCGGCATCTCTGATAATACTCTCAAGTACTTTACATACCGGTACTATGCCGGTCAGGCTCACCGGTCTATAGTTGTTCGTGGAGTGACGATCGTCCTTCTTGAAGATACGACTCATATAGCCATTTTCCAATCACTGGGGACCTTGTGTTCTTCCAGGCCTTTACAAAACAGGATCTTCAGGGGCTCGGCAAGCTCGTTGCACAACTCTCTTAGCACTCTGGGATGCACTATGTCAGGGCCGGGACTCTTATGGACCTTTAGCTTTGACAGTTTATTTCTTATACCCTCTTCTGTAAGCACAATCGGCCATTTTTTTTAACATTCAGGTTACTTATTAGTAACCCGAAAATGCCCTCCGAGCCGTAATCCATTTTTTTAAACCAAATTTTGTCGGGTTACCATTTGGTAGTCCGACAATATTATTGGAAAGTTCGGGATAAGTCCTCGGGTGTGGGTAGGCACCCGAAAGACTTATCCCGAATGTTCAATATTGTTATATATGAATAGAAAACGTCTCTGAAATATAATATATGTAAATTAAGATGAGATAATACAGAAAACAAATATTTAAGTCCTAATAACCGGTTCCAATGAAAATGTGTATATTTTTAAGAGACCTCCTTGATGTTTTACCTTCAACTCTGAAGATTTTTCATCTCCCTTCTCCAATTTTATCAAGCATTGCATTCCTATAATCATCCTCTTATAGGTTCAAGTATGTTAAAAAAATGCACTTTTCTGTGTGATAGATAAATGTAATGCCATTTCTAATTCGCCAATA